CTTTGAATGTCCTGATTGTGGGAGAAGTTTCAGTCAAAATTCTCATCTCGTTTCACACCAGAGGACTCACACAAGAGAGAAACCCTTTGAATGTTCTGACTGTGGGAAAGATCTCTGTATTAGAGTGAGCCTTATGAATCATGGGGAGAAACCATTCAACTGAGTATGGACGGTGCTTCAGGCAACATTCCACCCTTATCATGCACAGGAAAATCCACATGAGGCCTCAAGTGAGAAGTGTAGAGAATGCTTGAATTTCATTTCTCATGTCCCATTGTAAGTCCAGCTGAGAAATTGACTCTTTAATTTGATTACAAAGAATTTGTAATGGTATTAGATGGGGAAGAGGAAAGAAAAAATTAGGACATATTACTCTGATAATGGTTATCTGGCCTTTAGCCTAAGAAGTTGCTGGATATTTGGGCAATTATGTAAAAATGTTTTTGGGAGTGTTCTTTGCATTTTTGTGATGGTAGATGATAGAAATGCTACGTGCCATGAGTCCCAGCCTTTTTCTCCATGTGTGCCCCAAGATTTTCAGCCTTAGAATTCTCCAGCCAGAATCTTTTGGGGATTGGAGCGTTGGGATTATAGTTAAGAGATTGAGAAAGCAAGAGGAGAAGAGACATGGGGCTGAGGTGGATGGTTTTCAATGTTCTTCTTTTCCTAACAGTCCCAGAAATTCGTTGCACCAAGCATGTTTGTTCAGATTGTGTCAAGAATGAGGCACGCAAGTGGAAGAAATCATATGAATTGCAAATATATTGGGGGAGGTTGGGGCAGTGACAAAAGCAGTGTAAAATTTCAGATGTAAAAGCTGTTCTGCCCTGTAGGTGCCTTTCATGCTTCAAAAGCTATAGCAAGCAATTAGATTGAAACATGTCAGTTGAGCAATCATCAAATTCATCAAATTCCTGATTAACAATAGCACAGGACTGACTGTAACCATATTTTTCATGCTTGAAAGACATGGATTATCTCCATACTGTAGGTGCGTATTTTTCTCTCTCTCTGAATGTATATACCTGCAAATGTATAATCTCTCCCAGGACTTCCAGATAAGCAGTCAAGTGAAAAAGAAAATACACTCCCCTTGACTTCTATGATTTTATATATCGGGATGTAGTAAAAATCATTTGGCCTGTGCCATTCTTCAGTTTCCTCCACAACCTCTGGAGCCACACTTACACTCCCTGTCAGCTGTTCCTCCTCTCCCTTGGAATCAGACTCCAACAGGGGCATGACAGAGGAAGCCAGAGCTGGGCCGCATAGGAACTTGCTAGTAAAGGCTGGCAAGCAAGCGAGGGAGCCAGGCGCGAGTGGCCAAAGAAGATGAGGCGAGAAGAGTGGGTGTATCTATAAGGTGGGGCGGGGTCAGCCAGGAGTGGGATTTGGGGGCTCACTGAGCTGCACAGAGTCTTAGCTAGGGGATCACTCAAGCCCCCAGCAGCCACACCTGCTTCTCAGCCTCATACATACAGAGCAAACGCAAACTCATCACATGGTATTGGGACCTTCTGTGAGGAGACGGTGCATGGAATATTCCCTCTGGCGCTGTGAGACGTGTAAATGTGTGCTCTGTAAGATTGGATGAAGAAAGAGGTGGTTGTTGGGAAAGAAGTGGGGACAGTGAGTAAAGGGCCTCTGGAGGAGGGGAAATGGGACTGTCAGACGGTGTTCCATTCAAAATCCAAGAAAGAAATACTTAGACTCTTTTAATTAGAGAAAAGATATCTTTTACTGGAAATGAAGTGGTAGCAACTAGAGAATTCTGAATCTGAGGAAATAGGTGTGTAAATCACATATACAAAGTGATGGAAATGTTCCCACCCCCAATAGTTCAAATGGTTCTTCCAATTAAAAGTTGTGAATATCATCATGTGGACATCTTCAGGTGGTGATGAAGTTTCTGTCCGTTGACCTTGGCATACTTTGATAAAGGTTTGCAGCTGCGCAGAGAAGAGAAAGCTGAGCAAGAAACAGAAACCTAAGCAAGAATGCACTCTCCCTCCTCCTCTTTTCATACAATGCTAGTTTATACCACCTCCAGCTCGCTTCCCAACTTGTCCCCCCTCCTCCCCCTGTTACTTATGGCAGCCGAAAGATGCAAAGCAATAGTAGAAGATCTTGAAGGCTGACATTGACGGAGGTAAGCGAGCCAAGCTGGTGAGTCTGCAGTGGGAGCAAGTGGAGCAGTGAGGGGGCAGGTTTTGAAAGATACATATCTCACAGCGCTGGAACGACTTTCCCAAGCACCACTCTCGATTCTTGGGCAGGTTTTGGATTTCACTGTCCTGGCAGGCCGTAAAAACCTCAGACAAAGAGCTCCATGATCCCACACGCTTGTAAACCTCTTCCCTTGCTGGTGCCCTCTTCGGCCAGGTGCGGAGAGGCTGTGTCTTCTGGAGCAGGGAAGACAGCGCTCTGGCAGGCTGGAGAAGAGCCAGGAGGGAGCAGATCAGCCAACAGCATTCAGAAAATTGTACGCACTGTGAGGTGGCCTAAGGCCCACCCACTGTGGTGAGTGGGACGCGTGACCTGCATGGTAGGTCATAGCAAAGGCAGGCAGGCAGGTGAGGCACGGAGATCAGCTGGGCTGCAGGGACCGCGTGGAGCGAGCGAAGGAGCCAGAGAGCTGTAAGCATGATTAGCTATCGGACAAGGCAGGTGAGTCGAGATAAGGAGTGACTGGGGGGCAGGGAGAAGGGTGGGGCCAGCCAGTGGTGGCACTTTCCAGTTTGCCAAACTGCGCATTATCTCCCTGGTTCGTGCGCCTGAATCGGGGAGAACCAGCAGCAGCCCACTTCTGGGTCTGGATTAGAAGATCTCCAAGATCCTTTCAAATTCTATTATTCTTTTCTGTTGCAATGATATTTTTTATGTCCTGATAAGTAAAACCAAAGATATCAAAGAGGGTGTTCTTTCTTTTTCACTTGCCTGTATTTGAAAACAACCCTTTGCTCTGCTAAGAATTTGTGATTGACCCAGTCAACAAATGAATTTCATCATTGAATGGATATTTGAACCTGGATCTGGGTAGCCTTCCATGTGTCAAATGAATCATGATTAATGTAAGAGCGTATTGGAGCATTGAGGCATGTTTGCTTTGTCATTGTAATGTAAACGTTTTCTTTTTTTCTCATCCTCTGCAACCATTTTATGCACAATTAAAGATACCCTTTTATTTGAATCTTATAGACAAAGAGGATGGCAATAACAGCACTCTGGACAACTGAGGATAAGAAGCAACACTGAAAAGCAAAACAAGTGAGTCCAGAAATCAAAGTATTTTCCATTTCCTTCGGAGAGCTACATAATTCTTCACCTTCCTCATCAGGTGAGAGAGAAACTAGAGAAAATCAGAACAACTCCAGCTCATGATACATCTGAGAATTCATACAGGATAGAAACATTTGAACGTGTTTTTTGTGGGAAAAATTTCAGTATCAATTCTAATCTCATTAGCCACCAGATGATTCACACAGGCGAGAAACTCTGTAAATGTCTTGAATGTGGGAATAGTTTCAGTCAGAATTCTCATCTCCTTGCACACCTGAGAACTCACACAGGAGAGAAACTGTTTGAATATCCTGATTGTGGGAAACTTTTGAGTCAGAATTCCCACATTAGCCACCAGAGGACTCACACAGGAGAGAAACTCTTTGAATGTCCAGATTGTGGGAGAAGTTTCAGTACCAATTCCAGCCTGGTGAAACACCAGAGGACTCACACAGGAGAGAAACCGTTTAAATGTCCTAATTGTAAGAAAAGTTTCAGTCACAATTCCAGCCTGGTGATACATCAGAGATCTCACACAGGAGAGAAACCCTTTGAATGTCCTGATTGTGGGAAAAGTTTCAGTCAGAATTCCAGCTTGGTGATACACCAGAGATCTCACACAGGAGAGAAACCCTTTGAATGTCCTGATTGTAGGAAAAGTTTTAGTAACAATTCCAACCTTATTAACCACCAGAAGATTCACACAGGAGAGAAACCCTTTGAATGTCCTGACTGTGGAAAAAGTTTCAGTACCAATTCCAGCCTTGTGATACATCAGAGGACTCATACAGGAGAGAAACCCTTTGAATGTCCTAATTGTGGGAAAAGTTTCAGTCAGAATTCCAGCCTGGTGATACACCAGAGAACTCACACAGGAGAGAAACCCTTTGAATGTCCTGATTGTGAGAAAAGATTTAGTACCAATTCCCACCTTATTAGCCACCAGAGGACTCATACAGGAGAGAAACCCTTTGAATGTCCTAATTGTGGGAAAAGTTTCAGTCAGAATTCCAGCCTGGTGAAACACCAGAGGATTCACACAGGAGAGAAACCCTTTGAATGTTCTGATTGTGGAAAAAGTTTCTCTCAGAATTCCCAGCTCGTGATACACCAGAGGACTCACACAGGAGTGAAACCCTTTAAATGTCCTGATTGTGGGAGAAGTTTCAGTCACAATTCCAGCCTGGTGAGACATCAGAGAACTCACACAGGAGAGAAACCTTATGAGTGTCCAGACTGTGGGAAAGATCTCAGTACTAGGGTTAACCTTCTAAATCATATGCTTATACACACAGGGGAGAAACCATTTAAGTGCCCCAAGTGTGGACGGTCCTTCAGGAAACATTCCGCCCTTATTGCACACAAGAAAATCCACCTGAGACCCAAAGTGATCAGTATAGGGAAGGCATGAATTTCATTTCTTTTTTTAAATACAGTTTATTGATTTTACAATTAAAATAGACCAACAACACACACATAAATGTAAGAGAGAAAAGGAAAATAAAAAAAAAAGAAAGAAAAAGACAGAAAACAATTAAAAACATTTCCATCTTCAACAGTTTGTGAGACCTCCTTTTTATCCTTATTTTATGCCATATACACAATCCTTACATATATATATATATATATATCACTACTACGATTCTATCATATTCTTTTGCCTTTTAGTGTGAAAACTGTCTTTGGTCTATCCATTTGTACCAGCAGTTCCAGCTGTCGTAATATATTGAAGTGTCTTTATCTTTTAATGCCAAGGTTAATTTGTCCATTTCTGCACAACTTGAAATTTTTTGAATAATCATTTCCTCTGATGGAATATGAGGCTGTTTCCAACATTGTGCAAAAGCCAATCTGGCCACTGTCAAAATATGTATTATTATATATTTCCCTTTTTTGGGTAGTTTTTTTTATCAAAGATCCCTAATAGAAAGGACTCTGGTTTAAATTCGACCTGTTCTCTTGTCATTTCCTCCAGCCAATTTCTAATTTTCTGCCAATATTTTTGAGCTTCTGTACAAGACCACCACATATGGAAGAAAGTTCCCTCTTTTTTTTTTGCATTTCCAGCAGTTCGGACTCATATTGGGGTGTATCTTCACTAATCTCGAAGGAGGAAGGTGCCACCTGTAAAACATTTTATAGGAATTTTCTTTGTACGCTACCGATTTTGTGATTTTATTATTTCTACCCCAGACCTTTTCCCATTCTGTTAAGGTGATACTACGTCCTATATTCCTACTCCAGGCTATCATGTTCCCTTTAACAATTTCTTCCTCTAATTCTACCTGTAATAAATAATTATAAAATTTTGTTATATTTTTTTTGCCTGATCCTAATAAAATTTTATCTAATTGCTGGAGTTTATTATTAATTCCAAATTCTTTCTTGTCCTGTTTGTATCTGCTTTGAATTTGAAGATATGCCCACCGATTAATTTTTAATCCCTGATCTTGAAGGTCTTGCCACAATTTCAGATTTCCTTGCGTATCCAATAGGTCCTTATATTTAATCATTTTAGTAATATCCAGATTATTTGGGTGGATCATCGCCTCCATTGTTGAGATCCAGATTGGCATCTTTAAATAGTGTTTTTTCCGTATTTTCTTCCAATTGGTCAGTAATGAATCTCTGATTAGGTGTCTGTGAAAATATTTCTGGCTAGTTTTCCCAATATCCCATAAAAAAGCATGCCACCCCCTCTGTAAGTCATGGCCTTCTAAGAGTAATATTCTCTTATTGGTTAAATTCACCCATTCCTTCAACCATACTAAAGAGGCCGCACTATAATACAACTCCCAATTTGGGAGTGCCAGCCCTCCCCTGCTCTTCATATCTTGCATTGCCTTTAAATTTATTCTAGGTTTTTTCCCTTGCCAGATGAATTTTGCAGTTATCTTCTTGTGTTCTTCAAAAAACTTTTTGTGTACTTTAATTGGAATCGTCTGAAATATATAGAGGAATTTTGGAAGAATATTCATTTTAATAGCAGCAATCCTGCCTAATAGTGAAAGTTGCAGTTTGCCCCATGTTTCTAAATCCTTCTTTACCTGTTGCATTAATTTGTCATAATTGTTTTCCTTTTGTGTCTTACAATGTGCTGTCAACCATATTTCTAAATATTTAGCTTTCTTTATCACTTGTAGTCCCATAACTTCTTCTAGTTCTAATTTCTGTTTTCCTGTTAAATTTTTAGTCATTAATTTCATTTTCTTCCTATTAATTTTTAGTCCTGCTACTGCTCCAAATTGTTCTAATTCATTCATCACTTTTTGTCCTCTTTCTGTTGGTTCTTCAATGAAAAAAATCATATCATCCACAAACGCTTGCAACTTATATTCTTCTTTCTTAACCTTTAATCCTTTTATGTCTGGGTTCTGTCTAGTTCGCGTTAATAATGCTTCTAGTGATAATATGAAGAGCAGGGGTGAGAGTGGGCAGCCCTGTCTGACTCCTTTTCTATTTTTATTTTCTATTTCTAATTTCATTTCTAACGTCCCATTATAAGTCCAGCTGAGAAACTGACTTATTTAATTTGACTGCAAAGAATTTGCCTGATTTTTTTTGTAGACAAATATGTAAGAAGGATGTGGTGGCTCAGTGGCTAAGACGCTGAGCTTGTCAATCAAAAAGGTCAGCAATTCAGTGGTTTGAATCCCTAGCACCATGTAACAGTGAGCTCCCATTACTTGTCCCAGCTTCTGTCAACCTAGCAGTTCAAAAGCATGTAAAAATGCAAGTAGAAAAATAGGGACCACTTTGATGGGAAGGTAAAAGCATTCTGTACACCTTCTGTGTTTAGTCATGCTGGCCACATGACCATGGAGACGTCTTTGGACAGCGCTGGCTCTTAACGAGATGAGCACCGCCCCCTAGAGCCGGAAACGACTAGCACATATGTGCAAGTGGAACCTTTACCTTTATGTAATGATATTAGATGGGAAGGAGAAAAGAAGAAATTGCAACGTATTAGTTTGATAATGGCTATTTGGCCATCAGCAGCAGAACTTGCTTGGATATTTATTTTTGCAGAAATTGTGCAATTATGTAAAAATATTTTGGGAGTGTTCTTTGCATTTTTATCATGGTAGATGATAGAAATACCACATACAGAGTCCCAGCCTTTGTCTTCCTTGCCTGCCCCGAGATTTTCAGCCCCAGAATTCTCCAGCCAGCATCTCTTGGGGACAGGAACACTCAGACTATAGTTAGAGATTGTGGCTCCTCATATAATGAGAAAGCGAAAGAAGAAGCCGAAGGGTTTCAAAGTTTATCTTTTCCAAACAGTTTCAAGAATTCAGCACACCAAGCATGTCTGTTCAGATTGTGTCAAGAATGAGGCACACCAGTGGAAGTTACCATATGAATAGCAAGTATATTGGGGGAGTTTGGGGCAGTGACAAAACCAGAATAAAACTTCAGATGTAAAAGCTGTTGTGCCTTGCAGGTGGTCTTCATTGGAGAAGAGCTGTAGGAATATTGAGTTGAGCAGAAAAGGGATTGTGGTTTTGACCACAGGATCTCCAGCTTTATTCACAACTACTGCTGTGATCTTCGTTTGCAAGTGATTTCAAATTTAAACATATGCAAAATTTCTAAAATTTAAAATAGTGTGTGTTTATGCATTGCGGGGTGGTGTTGGGACAACAGAATGGAGCTGAGTGTTTACTGGCCGGATGCCCTTCCTGTTGCCAATGTGGAGTTTGCAGCATATATATTCTCATTGTGTCCAGAGAGAGAAATATCTGCCTCTACCTAGGATTGAAGTCACACCTCCTGATTGTGAAGTGAGAGCTCCACTTCTAGTTCACTGCACCACACTAAAATAGTAAAATATATATTTAATCAACTTTCGTTCTTTCCTTGGTGTGACATTTTAGTGCACCATCTTTATCATGTCTCATTGTAGTTAGGAATTGGAAATGCTTGCAATGATCCCAAAGCCTCTGAATCTCTTACAAGGCTATATAACAATATCAAGCAAAATTAAATAAAGCCAACCTAAGAGTCGTAGGGGATGGTCTACAGCAGGGGTCACCAACCTTTTGGACCTCAGGGACCACCAAACTCGTAATTTTAAATCCTGCAGACCACTAATAGGAATTTTGATTGACGGTGGCTTGCTGACATTGGTGGGAGAGAGATCTGATCTAAACCCTCGCTCCTTCCCTCTCTCTCTCTCTCTCTCTCACACACACACACACACACACAAACACACAGAGGCATGGGTGGGATTCAAATTTCTTAACCGGTTCTGTGGACGTG